CTTGGAAGTAGGCAACATGGTGCCTGCAAGCCAAGGGTTGGTGCCCTGATATGATGTCCACCTTCCCACTTCCCAGCAGGGAACGAGTGAGGTGGCTTTAGAGCTAAAAACCCAAGGGCGTTTTTACACATGTAAGTGCCATAGCACCGGGTGCTTTTCAATTCTTGCAGTTGTGGAAGTGGTGAAATGCACGTCGGTGCTGAGAAAATGGAGGCGGCGTGCTTTTGAACTAAAACACATCGAAGGCGTTTAGGTTCAAAAGTGCGCCACCGCCGTTTGCTGCATGCAGATGTGCGTTTCTGTGCTTATACAACTGCATGCGGTGCAGCACCGTTCACATCAGCTGGCATGCAGAGCAGGCTCGATTAATTGAGTCCGCTCCAAAGCGGCTGATCGCTGGCGTGTCGGGGCACAAAATGTACATGTATAAACGCCCCTTGTGCCCGCAGCGTGAACTAAAACTCCATGTTCTCCACGGGGAAGCTGGAGTGGGCCGATCCTCTGTGGTCTGGGCACGGAGGGGGAACCCCTAAGATGCACTGACCAAGGAGTTACACTGCATTGCACCGTACGGGTAGAAAGTGAGGCCAGTGCCTAAGCAAATTATATCACAGCGGAGTCAGGTTGCCCTTCTGTGGCACGTTGTCATTCAAAATGAGTTGCCTTGAAATGAAATGGAAATTCAGCCTTCGAAAAATCAGAGGTTAGCCTCTCGCCCTCGGTAGGTCTTTGCATCTCTCTGCTTCCATCAATAAAAGAGGGAGAGTGCTTTTTTCTCACCTGCATAAAGCACTCGGAGGACGTAGAAATGTAAGATTAGAAGCCGAGAGCCCCATGTTAGGGGAACATTTTCCTTTCCTTTAAAGGGGAAGATACAGATTGCTTGTTTTAACCAAGACCTGGGAGACTCGCTGCATCCAGCCCTCTCTAACAGAGCCGAAGAGCAGAAGGAGCCCCGGCATGAGCCAGAGGGTTAACATGGGGATCATTCTTGTGCGCTGCTACCAAACTCAAACCTACTTGAGTTTCATTTGTGTGGGCCTCTTTCCCCCCTCTCCCACTCTCTGAAATGCAGCAAGATCAACTTGCTTACTACAGGGTTTATTCCCGGTACCTTCACTGTGTCCCTTATTTCTCCTTGATGAAGACTTAAACAAGCCGCTTGTGTTTGATTCATGGAGAACCGTGAGAAACGAGCTGTTTATGTGAAGCAGTGCGATTTTTTTTTGTTCTTTCTATTCAGCCCTTTGTATATTCAAATTCTTCTAGTTTCAGTTCTTGCTGTTCTGCCAGATTTCCGTAGCATTGATGGGTTTTCTGAATTAATAAGTTTCTTTCCCCCCTCCTTAGTCTCCCCACCTCTGCAAGTGGTGAAAAGTTTTTTGTAAACGCACAGCCTTCTCCATATTGATTTTTTCCCCCCCTCTCCCCCATCTCACCAGTTCTTAGATGTTTTATTTTGTAAAGCGTTAATAGAATTTTTCTTTCTCCATTGCACTTTATCTATTCAGGAGGTATCAAGAAGTCCCATTGTGTCACTGGACTATGGAGGAAAGAGGCTATTCTTCTGTTACAATGGCTGCCCTAAAAAGTAGCTCAGGGTGGGGTAAACTCAGAAAGGGCAGCAACGGAGATAAAATGTTCTGACCTTAGAAAAAAGAAAAGATAACCAATTAGGCATTGTTGAAAGGGCACCCGCTGGCTTAAGAACACCCTACTGATTTTTAAAAAAAATTTTTTTTTAGGGTATATTTTATCCGGAGGTTGGTCAAAATCCGGTCCAAAGAGCTGGTTTATCCCCTCGCAGTATTTCAGATCTAAATCTCGCCTTTATGATTTTGCTTCTGGGCTTAATCCAAACCTTAGACGCCTGCTTCCCGAGGGATAAAGCACAAATCTTTCAAGGATGGCTGCACTCTTGTGGCTTCCACCCAACGGGACCAAAGTCCCCGCAGGTCAGCCCACCAACCATGCGCTCAGTCTTGTTATTGATTACCGGTTCAATAAAGAAGCCCAGCTGCATTCAGAGCTCCGCGGTACTACGTCCTTTTGAAACACATGCTGGGCCCCTGCCCTGGGAAGCTTGCAGTGCAAGGGGGAGAGAGAAGGTGCATCGTTATCCTCCCCTGGCACCTGGGTTGCTGAAGCCCAGAGAGATGTGGATCCGGCTTGCTCCCAGCCACATGCAGCAGGGTGATGGCAGAGCATCCACCTGTCCTGCAGCCCCGTCCAATGCCAAGACCTATCCTCTCTCATGCAGGCTTTGGAGGAGCAGAATAGGACTGTAGCATCTGCTGAAGCTTGTGTCCTCACTTCTGACGTCCACGGTTGAGGATGCATAGAGCTGCCTCTCGGGTTTCAGCTTACTGGGATGCAGGCGGATCAGTCTGTCCCCATCTCGGCAAGGCAAGGATCTTGCTGCCCCCGGTATTTCTCCGGGAGGAGGGGAGAAACCACCAAAGGGGACAATGTGCGGTGGGGTCTTTCCCCTTTGCCGTTCACCTCTAAGAAAAGGGCTGTGTTCCCACAGCCTGCAGCAAAGTGTTGATGAGCAAAGATGAAGGTGTTCAGGGACTTCATGGTGCAAACGTGAGTCAGCCCAGTGCTGCTTTCTGGGATAGGGCCAGGTGTACAAGGATCCACGTCACTATGTGCATTGAATTCCTGTTAGGCACTGAGTCATTCCCTTTGCTCATGAGTCCCATGAAGCAATGGCCTTTAGGCACATGCTCCTTCAGCTCTCGTCTCTTAGTTACCAAAGCAGCCGGCTGCAGTAAACTGGGCTTACGTACTCATGAACCCTGGTTAGGTCCCTGCGGATCTAAAATCTTGTGCTAAAAGAGCAGTGGGTTAGCTCCTAGAGGTGAGACCCTCCGTGTGCATGGGTCTTGCCTCTAAAGAAAGATCAAGAGCCGCACTCTGCTTGCATGGTTGCACATGCACCCCGCGGTGAGGGAAGCTCTTCCCGTACAGCAGAGGTCAATGGCAATTCAAAGTCTTGCACAAACCATCCTGTGGTGATGACTAACTGGGTCGGGGATTGAAGCCTGAGCTTGATCTATCCCACCGCGCACGTACTAGCGGTGCTGTCTGAGAGTCAGGAGACAACAGTGCTATGACTGGGCCTCCTCAAAGGATGCAGGTGAGCCCCGGGGACCCATTATGTGCGGTGATGGGGAGTTTGGGCAAAGATTTTGCAGTGTGGGAGATGTGTTTTAAACCTGTGCGATAGACCAGTGTGGGGATTCAAGGGGGTTCAGGGCACAGTCCGGCTCCTGTGATGCTCAGCTTAGGGTGGGGAAAAGCCATGTAGTTCTTGGAAGTGGTTCTTGCTGCTTGAACCTAGAGCTTAATCAGGCTGAAGCCTTTAAGAAGTTTAAAAATTGGCTGAGCAAACCCTAATCCCAGGACACAGATGAGCGTCGAGGGCTCTGGTCCTTGCTTACCCTCTGGCCGTGCTCAAATCTGGGGGGTTTGTTTCAAAGGGGGAGGAGGATGGGAGCAGGCTGAGATGACCCTAGCCATAATTCAGTTTGGAGTTGATGGCGTTGGCAAATCCCACCCAAGACGGGGGCAAAGATGCAAGCAGAACGAAGGAAGCAGGCCACGGCTCTTCCAGGTCAGGTGGTTTTTCATACTGCTCTGCCAACCTATGTGGCTCGAACTACGCTGTGCTAGAAACCAGATAAATTGGAGCCGGATCTGAAATGAGAGTTTAAGCTTTAACCGTGCTGTCATTTCTACTGAATCTTGGACCCTGCTTCTGACACTGTAGTTGAAACGTCTCCACCCTGTGTTTTTAAGCACGTTCCAAAAACGATGATGCTGCCAAGCAAAGACAAAGGCTACTTAAAACACACAAGAGTGACCTGTACAAAGGGTCTAATTGGGTCCCCGCCATAGTAATCTCTCCAGGGTGGATGCAGAGTATCACTTGACGTACTAAGCATACAAGAGCGACCAATGCAGAGTCAGCTTTCCTCAAACGAGTAGGTAAATGATACTTGTTTTGCTTTGCACCGTAGTATTTAAAAGGGAGGATGCCAGCGGTTGAAAGTTTTGTAGCAAACTACCACCCCAAACAGATGAGGTGGGCGGTTCTCTTGGGACTTTTTGCACCGTTGTCTAGATCTAATTCCCTGCTAACCAGTAACGAAGCCAAGCTTTAGGAAGGTTAAATTCGATAGGCGTTTTTCCATCAGGGTGCAGCATCGTCTCGCTGAAGCTGCCGGAGGCTCTGAACAACAGCTTAAAATCCAGGACGCTGAGGAAGACCTCTCAGCAGAGCATCACGTCAAAATAGGTGCAAGATGTAGGTGTGGCTGCACTGGCTCCATGTAGGTGGAATAAATCATGCAAATAGTAATGAAACTTGAAAGCAATTTTGTTGCACTTCAGTACATGCCAGGAGTCGGCTCTCTCTTCTGAAGTGGAAATGCCAAACCTGATGCGAATGAAACCTTTCCTCACCCAGCCCCGCTTTGCTCCTGTTGCTTTTCAAAAGGCCTTTTGAAATACCTCTGAATATCTCTCTGCCCCACATGTCCTTTTTAAAACCCCCTCGTCCCAACACAGTCATCCCCCTTTGGAGGAGCCCTGGGTGCGATTGGCCTCGGCGACTCCCATCCGTGCTGGATGAAGAGGGGGTCCCTGCTCAGCTTTCTCCAGCTGCTAGAAGAAGAGAAGGAGGGGGTGGAGAATAAATAAAATCTGCTTAGATGCTGGTGCTTTTTAGGGCAATAAGACTTTTTAACATGCACTTTTCTCTCCTCTGGATCAAATGCCAGCCAGGTTTTGTGTTGAAAGCAGCAGGTTTCCGAAAGAAAAAGCTGACTGTAAGCAAAGGAAATGAGATCTGACGAGTCCATGTGGTTTTCTGTACCTGAGCTTCGGCGGCTGCTGCCTTAGCCTCAGCTCCCCAGATCTCGATTTGCTTGCGTGTCCTCATTAACCTTGTGGCAGATGTGCTGAAACACACATTTCCCCTTTCTGTCTTGCAGGTAGAGGACGCCATGCTTATGTTTGACAAGACTACCAACAGGCATAGAGGTAAGAGAGCGTCGGCGCTCGGGGGTCGCACTTTATCACTGGCCAGTGCCAACTCCGCAGCACCAAAATGTCTGGTGGACCCAGTGGTCCACATGGCGACTGCTGGGACTTGGGCCAATTCTGTGTGTCCTGCAGTTGCTATAATAGCAGAGGTGCTCAGGCTTTGGTCCTTGTGTGTCTGCGAGTAGCTTGGATGTCTCTTCAGTGCGGACTCCTCCAGCCAGTTGGATAGAGTCTTGTCCGGGTGGCCCAAAGGAAGTCCTATTCAGCTTGACTTGGGTGAAGAGGATTGCAGGGGTATGTAATGTCCATGGAGATTGATGGGTGAAAAACTGATGCTAGGCATCCGATCCTGGGTTTGGGGGAGAGAGGAAATAAATAATAGTTAGTGGTCGAAGAAAAGGTCAGGTTCTCTCACTCATCTCCCTGCTCCTGGGTGTTACTATGGTCCTGCCTTTAGTACCAAGGGAGAAGCACGTATCCATACCGCTGCCCACTATCTCGTGAGGTCCCACGGTAGATACCTGTGTGTAACTTTGAAGCCTTTTTGCATGTGCAAGAACCTTGATTCTCTTCCTCTGGTGTAGCTCGGACTCAGCCGGGTCCAGGTGCCAGCTGGCTTCCATCGTCCATCTAAATTTGTGTACACACACCTGCCTAGTTGAGGTCCACTGCAAGACCCATTCTAATTGCCAGAAGTCCACTTGGTTGTGCAAGTTTTCTGAGGCAGACACTGAAGAATATGGCCCTCTGACTCTTTTGATTCCCCTTTTTTTTCCCATCTCTTCCTGTGATGTGAGTTTTCTTATTTCGTGAAAGAGTCTGGTGTTTTTAGAACAGAACTTCAGCCGGGAGAGAGAGAGCGCGAGTGCCATGGTATGGGGGCAAGGCAAGAAGCAGGAATCCTGGGAATGCTGCCGTATGACTTCCCGAGCCAAACTTCTCCTAAGCAAGCAATAAGGATGCATGCCACGGGGTTTAAGAAGCCAGTTGGTTTAATTATCCTCCGGGAAGGAGTCGAATGAACGCAGCCCAATTATAAGGGACATAGGTCTCAGTGCTAGATTTGATCCAGTTCCACTGTCCGCCCCCATCCCCTCCCGGAACGGCGTGTTCTGCTTCTTACCGGATCAGTGTAAGCGATGACAACTCAGAAAGACAGATGGGGAAGAAGCAGAAGAGTCATGGGGAGGGACAGGTGGTGGTGATGTGCTATTCTGATTTATTATGCTGGGATTATGAGTCCCACTCGTGGACCGGGCCTGCTGGGTGCTAGGTGCAGTCCCTACACAGACCAAAAAGAGGGTGCCCAGACCTGCCTGCATAAGACACAAGCAGGGGAGAGAGCCGTGCATTTTGACCGCTTTGCTTTTTCTTACTGCTGTGCTGCTCACCGTAACATCGAAGGCACTGTTGTTGGTTTGAAGCTCTGGGCTCTGATGCTTTGTTTTTATGGAGCCTGTTTTTCTGAAAGATTAATTAATACCTTGGGGGCTGACGACAGGAACGTTTTATCGATGCGTTTCCCTGCCCACGGCTTCACCGGAGCACGGGCAGCGCCTGCCCCTCCGGTCACGTCTGCATCCTTGAGTTTCGGGTGTCAACTTCCAGCAAGGATCGCTGAGCACACGCAATACAATTTAGTGCCAGCCTCGTGCCCGGGTGAAGGGGAGGAGGAGTATGGTGGGATTAGAAACGCAGCTGCGGCCTCTGTGTTCCCCCCGGTGACAAACGGGGCCGCTTGACCCTTGTCACTAATTGCTCTGTGTCACAGCAGCGTGACCCCGGTGCACTAAGTGCTACTCAAACACGTGTTGAGGAAGCGCTTACGGCCAGACCACACCAGGCAGGCGTGGACGTGGCGCGTGTCCCAGCCGGGCCTGAATTTTGAAATATTGATGCTTCTCGTGTTTTGCTTGCTCTTAATCCCCCCCGCGCCCACTTTGAAAGTTTGGGCCAAATCGTGGCCAGGGCAAGCTGCTTACAGCCCAGTTGGTTTCCTTATCTCCTTGTACAGTTGCAGAAACTGTGGGCAGTTAGGCCAGCATTTCGCTATCTGACCGCGAGCATCTTGACTAAACAACCATTTATCTTGGGGGCTATACATCCGCTTCCTTCCAGCCCTGTGTGCCGTACAGATTGCCTTGAATATATGCTAAATGTAATCCTATAAAGCCTGGGCACCTGAGAATTACAAGCCAAGCTTCTTATTTCATTCATTTTTCTGTCAGCTGCAGAAATGATCCAATGGGGCAAATGAATCAACGGGGCCTACATTAAAAAAATGTATATTTTAAATAATCCACTGACTGTGATCTTTGAGCTATGCGAGCTCCCGGATCATGTTAACATAACAACGTGCCGATTATGAATGTTGATACAAATGGTTGACAGCAACCTCCTGGCTAAAACGTTAGGAGCTGTTGGCTTGTGTCGTGGGAAAACGGTTTCTTATGGATTTGGAATAAGGCCTCATACTGGCACGTGCTTTTGGTGGTGGTATAATTTGGTAATCCTTGGGAGTTATACCTGTGAACCTACAGGCATAAGCTGGAAGTCAGGAAACGCCTGAATTTTGATCTGACTTGGGGCAAGACACAATCCTTCTGCCTGTAAAATGGGAATAAGTGCATGTCTAAAGCTATCGTCACTACAAGACTTCTCCCAGAGGTTTCAAGCATTGTGGCATTTTTGAAAACTGGGACTGAGAGACTCTCAGGAAGATTTTCTGAGCAAGCAGGAGCTCAAGGTAAATCATTTCCCCCTCCCTACTTCACAGGAGGCATTTCTGTCCGTCAAGGAGGTCTACCCTCGTCATTAAAAAGACACCTAGCTTTGAACGAGGTGCCAGTCTACCCGTAGCAGCATGGTATCCAGAAGGGGCTCATTTAACCTTCGGAGGTGAATGAAGTGACTGCAGTGTAAATATACCCTTAGCGGGTCTCTCTCTTGGCGTGGCAGGGACGTCACACTGCAAAGGCCTCTCCCGTTTGACCATCAGCTATCATGAAAGGGGATATATCTGACGGGGGTGGTCCACGCTTCCCGCGCCCACGTGGAAACGGAGCTGAACAGGCTGACATCATTTGCCCTTCAGGCTCCAGCCACTTAAACAGTTTGAATGTCGGCTCTTTGTGGGGGCTCGCTTGACTGATACCGTTATTGTCTCGGCCACAAAAGTGTCAGCTTCTCGGAGTAATGTATATCGTGCGTTTGCTTAGGGAGGCTGCCAAAAAGTTTAAAGGAGTCTGAGTCAAGTCAAGAAGTGTTACGAGTTTTGGAAAGAGGCCCGGGGACCGTGGCCAAGCCCCACTCGCTAGAATACCAGCGCCGCTGGCTCGAGCGTTGTCCATCTCCATGGCAGGATCAGGGGACTTGAACTCCTGACGCTGCCCTTTTCAATGATGCTTTGTGCGAGGAGCTTGCTTTAACAAGCTGCCTAGTGACCGGTGGTTGTGGGACGGGGGAATAAAACTTCCATAGGCTCTTCTGCCTTCCTCGCTCATCCCCGCCACCGACTCTTCTCTTCTGGTTAGAGTGGCAGTAACCGGAGTAATTCAGCCTTCAGGAGTAAAAGATATATGGGAAGGACTGCGATTTGCAAAGGCAATAGAGCCCCACCTCCAGTTTCCATTGATTTCTAAGGGGAACCAAGAGTTCAAACCTTTCACGCAGCCCAAAAGGTTTCCTTTTCTATCAGGGGAATTTCCACCGCTCCCCTTCCAGCCGTTCTGAAAAGGGACATAAACTATACCCTTCCTCTGGTCAAAGGCTCGACGGGTTATTTGTTGCTTCTGAGAGCAGCATTGCACAGTGCTTTTGTGTTTGGCACGGCGGGCTTAAATCTCCTCTCCGACCTCGTTCTGGTACATGCCAGAGGTAGAGGAGAGCCAAGGGGCTGAGTCCTGACCGCGGCAGAGACTGGGGACATTTAGCCAGAGTGAACGTGCTCCAGTGATCCTTGCACCCACCCGTTATGCTCTTTATTTTCTTCCCTGAAACTCTCCAGACTCAGAAGTGGCTTGTGCAGCACCCAGCCCGAGGCCCAGGGAGCCGAATCCCCAAATTCAAGTGGGTTCGGTTCTTCTTTTCTTTTCCGAGGCCTGTGTAATATCAATTTGCAGGTTCCTGAGCTGGGGATTTTACTGTCTGCCCCAGATGGACATTCGGCAGTTCTTGGAAGGTACTTCCTCGGATTTGCAGGGCACGGCAAACCCAGCATCATGCAGTGCAGCCAGGCTGCACAGCTTTTGCAGCTGCAAAGTACTGGCTCCGATCCGTAGGACAATGTTCCCCTCTAGTGCCGGCCTCACAGTGGGGATAAAAGCTCTACTCCAGGCAATCGGGACTCGTGGTAGAGGCAATATCTTTTATTAGACCCACTAGATTTTTGCAAAAAAAAAAGAAACGAAATTCTTTTGCAAAATCTAGTGGGTCTAGTAAAAGATATCGCCTCTACCACGAGTCCCGATGGCTTTTTCCTCTAGGCCAATATAGCTATAACCTGGATACCTACTCCGGACAGCCACTCTTGTTGACTTGAGTGGCCGAGACTTGTGCATTTGAAGCCAAACATCCAGGTTTCTGTTCCCCACGAGAAGCAGGAGCCTGATGCTACAAATCCCAAAGATACCTGCCTTTGTTCCTGCCTGCTGATTGCATGGATCATGCAGGATCAAACCCGGTGTCTGCTGCCCTCCACAGCTCCACTGTCAAGGCGGAGGGGAAGCGGTGGAGTGGTGTTAGAAGTCAAACCACGGTGCGTGAGTCCTTCCTCCTTTCCTGCCACCGAGATTCTCGTTGTCCCCTTCCGTACAGATTTCAAGGTGATCCTCGGTGCATCTCCTGTGTGTGGCACTGTGCTGCTGTAAGCACTTTCCAAGCCACGAGGGCGCGGGGACACGTTTCTGGCCGGTCGGTGCTAATGCTGAGCTGTGCTTTAGCAGCTTCAATTCAGTTCTTTTAAATAGTCTTTTGGGGGGGAAATGCAATATTGTGTT